TTCCCTTTTTTTTTTTTTTTTCTCCCCCCCCCCCCCCCTCCCCTCCCCTTCCTCCCCCCAATCGACTTTCTCGTGTGAACGGTGCCAAGGCCTCAGCGTGCATAGAAACCGCGTGATATCGTGTTTATTATAGGGGGAAAGGAATACTCGTATGGCGCATGATCCAGTGGGGTGGGACCCCCTTTTGTCATGTGGGACTCAGTCGAGTTCCAGATCACCGCCCATACAGCTGCTTCCTTTTTTTTTCTTTTTTTTTTTTTACATTTGGCTGGTGGAAAAAAATTCCCCGTTTCCGTGAAGTGCGTTGACACGGGTGTGGATATTATGGTGCTACCGTCTCGCTAGCTTTTTTTTTTTCTGCTTTCAACCATATTTCGGCGGCATCATCCATTTACTGCTTTCCTGCTCGGCGTCGGTAAGCCGGTTTTTTGTTGTCGCCGCGAACCGTGCCGGATTCCTCCGAGGGCAATTACATTTCCCAGGTCCAGTACTTTTGCTTCCTCTCCGTGTTTTGTGTCGTGTTTGACGAAGGGAATCAGAAAATCCAACGGGGAAGGGAGTTTTTCCCGAAATGCAACGAGAGGGAAGAAACGTGCATAAGCCGCCTTATTATTTTCAGTTCCCATGTCCGGCAACCTAGCGGTTCCAGGGCTGGGAAGAATCCGAACGGGACCCCGGAAGCCAACGATTTCTCTCAACCTCATCTCTCATGAGTCCAATTAAGACGAGACGAGACAAAGAACGACTCGGCGCACGCGGGGAAAGAAAAAGAAATCCTTGTCTCTCCGTGAATTGTGTTGGGCGATGTGAAGGCGGAACTGGAGAAAGCAAAAAAAAAAAGAAACCTGACTTTGGTGTCAGTAGGGCTACGAGGAACGCCCTTGTCGGAATATGGTCTCCATATTACAATAATACACACCCTGAAGCCATTTCTATTTTTGTCCAGTCCATCATCAATCTTTTTTTTATGTAACAAGGAGAAATGGCCGAAAACTCTTTCAGCTCCTTCCGAACGATTTCGATTCATTCATCGACTGCCTCATAGAAGGCTCTGAATTATTTTCCTTCATTGATTGCAAAGAAGATGGTTTCGAATCGTTTCGGTTCATTCCTCGATTGCCTCGAAGCACGCTGTTGATTTTTCATTTCCTCTCCCGGGGCCATTCCGCAGCTCGAAGGGATTTCTTTTTTTCCTCGTCGGATCTTTCAAGGAGAGACGATTGTTTTCACCGCGATTTACGACTCCAGGACTTTCGTTTCCTCCCCGCAAGTTCTGATAATTTTTTGTTGTCTGTTTCGTTTTCCTGTCTCGTGCTTTACGATCCGTTTCGCTGCTTGCTTGCGCTGCTTTTTATAGCCACCCATTAAAATCAATCACCCAAATCCGCTGCGATTCTGCAATATTGACCAGCCCCCTCCGTGGGCAAGAAAAAAATCGTCTCTCCTTTGATCGACGGTGAGATTCGTTTCTTCACGGATCCGTGATTTATGGGAGGAGCGAAGTGAAAGAGCTTTATATTTATTCGCTTCTATCGGATCCGGGGGCGAGATAAGTCAGAGGTTTTTAAGCTTTCACTTTGACTTTGGCGAAAGG